ACTCGACCCAAGAAAGACTCACCAAGCGAGCTATGGCCATTATCACTGAAGCTCACAGGATTTCATACGTGCAGCATGAGCTGCTTTATCAGCTCTTCCCACAGCAACCTTTTAGATTCAGTAGAAGTTCAATGATGCCTCTGAATGCCAGCTGAGCAATCAGCAGCAGTTCATCTCTGACCATTCTCGTGACCGTATCACTCCGAGATTGAAGTTTTACTACATTTGAACAATTGCATAAGGCCGATGTCAGACTGTGGACTGTCAGAGTAGCGATTCGCCATGCCTGACATCGGCCTGACGGGAACCTACTGTTCTACTGTTCACAACAAAGTGGTTGAAACTTATTTAGTAACTGAACTAGAACCTCAAGGTATCCACAAAATTTTGCAACACTCGTTCTGCAAGTTGTGGAAGGTCGTTCTCCAGGACGTATTAGCATTCTTTGTTGAAAAGAACTGGAATCGTGAAAATGGCCGCAGCTCGTCATCCTCAGAGCGGAGGATTACGATAAGATTAGGTTGGTTCATAGTGGAAGTGGGGATGCTGAATAATGCCCCAGTGGCGAAAAAAGCAAAGAAATCCGTCAAGAAGGCGCAAAATGGGACCCCTTTCTTTGCCCGTTGACCTCCGATAATGGACGAGCTAGCAACCAACCAAGAGGTCGTTTGCACATTCGAATCGAAAGCCACCATTGTGCTAACGGAAACCATGTTCGGATTGATAACAGATTCCATAGAAGTTGTAGGGCGGAAGTGGTGTAGTGGCAAGTGGCACGCTTACCACGCGAGCGGTCCGGGGATCAAATCCTGGGTCGTGAGTCGCCCGGGCCAACCAAGCCTTCCATCCCTCCGGGGTCGGTTAATTGGTACCAGACTTGTCTGGGAGGATAAAAACACTGACTTGTACATCGGCTGGCCCCCGCAAGTCATTGTATAGGCCACATCGCATTCAAACGCCACTACGAATGTACAAATGGAAGTAGAATGCGTGCCGCATCCCAAAAAGGGATTGATCAACGGCAAATGCTTTATCCTTTTTTATAGAAGTTGTAGGATTTATGGTCGATGTGGAATACCATTTCAAAAAGATAATCGAACCATGGTGCAGCTGGCAACACACCAATGGGGGGAGCACAGGCGGAGGCGGAGCTCAGAATGAATTGGCAAGCCCAGTGTCTTCGACAGAGATTTCCGACAGGAGGCCCGTCGCGCGGCAAGAAGGCAGAGTCAGCGGACGAGTCGCAGCGCGTACTGTAGTGATTTCGCGTCAAGTTAAATAGAATGTACCATTGTACGTCGCACATCACGCGCTGCGACTCGTCCGCTGACTCTGCCTTCTTGCCGCGCGACAGGCCTCCTGTCGGATACCCTGCGACTAGCGCACCTTAAGCCGCGGAAAGGCCAGATCTCGCTTTTTCTGGCTCCTGACTGCTGCTTCTTTTAGTGCATGTACTTCCATGCTACACGGGCTCTTTGTCATAATCCCTCGCTTTAAAGACAAGTGGTACGAGGACTTGGATGTTGATGTAGGGGAAATCTGGTTACTGAGAAGGCAGGCTAGGCCCTCATTGTAAAGAAGCGAAGCGTGGGAAAGGGTTCGCATGTGTCACGACTTGATCCTCCCTTTGAACGCCTTGCCTCTACTCGCCGTCCCCGTGGCTTTCAAGCAGCGGTGTCTCGCCTCGGGCTCTTTTGACAGAGAGGGAGCAATGCGTTCACGTTGATGGAGGCAGCTGTTGTAGAATCTCGTCCTTTCCAGAAATGGAAGGGCAAAAAGGGAGTCTTTTTTCGGGTTTTAGGCCGCTTCTTTGGTTTTTTCTTCCTTCTGCACCCATTCCCACCTCTGCTTTCATTGGCAACAGGCAACCAATGTTTCGTACCATCTGCTTTCGAGTTCACCCTCTGCAGGCTCTCTGATTTTTAGCACGCGCAGGGTGCAGGAAGCGGAGGGAGGGGTGAGTTCTTATGACAGTAAAGTTTTTGTGTGATTTAATAAAATAAGCTACAAAGGTTAACAAAGAGCAAACACGTCGCATTGACATTTATTGAATTATGTACAATTACCCATAAGCAATTTGCAATATCTGTAACCTACAAAGCCGGTAGTCGAAAAGCGGACGGAGAGCTTAGACAAAACTCGTTCGAGGTGAGCATCGCACAAAACGACTTTCAGACTTGGAACGCAACATTTTCTTCCACTTCTCCTTGGGTGTCGCCCGAGAAGCTTTCGGAGTAGCCTCGCCATGTTTGACAGGAGAGTCTTTGGCGCTGCTGGCTACATCACGTCTGAGTGTGCTACTACAGTCAGATCCCTTTCGAAATGAAGCATTGGAAAGTTCAGCCAAGTGTTCTCGAGCGCTAGAAAAATTCCCTCTGCGACTCTCCACCAAGGAGGAGGACAGCGATGGTTTCATGACTCCTGAACTGTGAGGAGAAGACCTGTCGCCATCCGTAGGACATTTGTTAACAGATGGAGTGGTCCACGATCGTTGTGGCTGCTGAAATCAATAAATATTTGAACAAATTTTATCATTCCTAGTTGATGAGAGCAGCCATAGTCATCATTCTAGTGTGTTGCCCACGACGATAGTCAATGCGCTCATTTATTCGTTACGCTCATTGTGGCATACACAGTCGCCATACCAAGTACATCAATAACTCAGGAAATGATCTTATTGTTAGTAAAAATGAAAACAGTCTATGCTCCCACCTGCATGACGTTGATGGAAAAGGGTTTCCCAGCTGCGTACATCTTATCGGTCATCGCGATGCTGAGAAGTGACCAAGCGGAGGGGGCATGTGGGAAGGCTCGAATGCACTCTTGATTGAACATTACCTGAAGGACACCAAATACACTCACAGCCTTGCCCTAGAATCATAGCGAAAATATCGCATCAAAAATACCCTTTTTGAACGTTGTTTCGAATTTCGCACGGACTGAATTATAATATAACTAGAGTAAAAGTGGTAGTTATAAGTATTGGGTTGATGCATAATTATTGCGGATTTTTTTCGCGCCTTTTTTTCAAAAAAACTGGCGTTTTGTTTATTATTTTTCATGAAAATATTCTTCTCTCTTTCATTAACAGAAATGCTTATCGAAAATCATCTTCATATTCGCCACATATGCTCTACCACTTCGAGAAAGGTTGGAAGGCGGCAGAGTCATTTCGCGATCTCAACGAACTTTTCGGCGAGGGAACAATTAGCAAAGCCAAGTTGAAAGATGGTCTAAAATGTTCAACCGAACTTCTACAGACTGACCACTTCAATCATCGTTGGAAAAGTGGCAAACGAACAAAATTTACGACTGACAGCCAAGCAAATGGGAAGCATTCCTGTTGGATGGTTACTACACTGTGGAGTAATTACTTATGTTAGACATGTTTTGTTAGTTATTTTATCGTTTTCGCCGCATAAAAATTGTTGAAGAAAGCCGCGATAATTATGCATACACCCAATAGAATTAAAGAGCGAGAAAGTTCAGGTCATTGATCATTCATTACTGCTTGTAAGCATTCGGAAACCGTGAAAGGCCTCTTGTTTCTTGAACTGTCTTCTTGCTATGCTATCTTTGAAAGGATTTTTATGGACTCTTCTCGATGGCTGATACACATCTTCTCAGTGCTGACTCAGAATTGTGAAAACTCAGCGGTTACCGAGGCCTATACTGCTTTTCGTAACGAGTACCTCTTGTGACGCCATGCCGATTTTGTTGTTTTTCGCTGGAACTGACTCGCAACCCTTCTTTTACATCAAAGCTTATATCGTTCGTGCAAAGCATGGAAGAATTAGTGCGTAGATCGCTGCTGATAAGTGACAGTGCTTCAGGAAATCTCAGTTTTGTGACGTTAGCGAGTTGTTATTCTGAATAGGGTGACGTTACATCACGGTAAGTGTAGCCAGACAGATGGGCTTCTTTTTTCAGACTCGTCAGCATTCATTGTGTACTTTAATGACCCTATCACTGCAGTTACCACCGCAGTGATTGGTTGTGAATGCATTTCAGTGAGCTAGTTTCAATCAAGGCGAGATCAAATCAGGAGGTTTTCATTACGATTATCAGTTTGGTTGTGGAACGGTTACTAAGGGAGGCTTGTAAAAATACCCTCAATCCTTGGGTAGTCTATGAGCGCTAAAGCCAAGAATAAGAAAGGGCCCTCGAAACCTGAAGTAGCTGATTCAATTACTTAGTAGTTGTCACACATTAATGAATCCAATCGGAGAAATCTGTTCACCTCTGCAAAGCATTCACCTAGAACGTGCCACATCCGTCTTTCAAAGCCGAGTGGTCCGAGACGCGCATGCGCCATGCCTGAACGGAATGGTTTATAATGGTAAGATCTAGGTAAAACATTCTAAAACAAATTTGCAGGTGGTTACGTTCTGCGTCAGTGTTGTTAGTTGAAGGAACGCGTTATTTCACAGAATTTCTGGGATGTGAACAACAGCTTTCGCCACTAGACGGGACTCGAACCCGCACCTCTCGTTTAAAGGGCAAGTGCGCTACAAGTTACGCTACCGGGGCACCATTTCATTTTACCTCAGTTTTTATAAGTTAGCTTTTATGACCAACGCATTACGCTACTGCTAACCACTTTTTGATTCTTCAGGAACAGTCGCATCTTTCACGTCGTCCATCTCGTTTGGGTACCCTGACAGGAGGCCCGTCGCGCGGCAAGAAGGCAGAGTCAGCGGACGAGTCGCAGCGCGTGATGTGCGATGTAGGACGTGCAATGGTACATTCTATTTAACTTGACGCGAAATCACTACAGTACGCGCTGCGACTCGTCCGCTGACTCTGCCTTCTTGCCGCGCGACGGGCCTCCTGACGGGTACGTCTCGCTTCCTTAGGGGACCTGCCTCTGTTTATAAAGTAAGCATATTTGCCCTTCTCCAGTGGTGGACCAGTTCCCACCTACCGTGCAGTTGACGACTGATGAAATAGAGCCTACAGATCATGGAGTTGAAATGCTGCGGTGTAGCCTAGGGCACACACGCCTGGACTGCACTGGGCTGCATTCGAAATAAAAACATCCGGGAAAATTTAGAGTCGAACCTGTCACCACCTTTGATGTGCGACATCCTGAAGCACGACATGAATGTCGTTGATCTGACTAAACTGATGCATGAACCAAGACCGCTTGAAAACCTCGGTGGGAAAGCGTTTCCAGAAAATGTTGGACAACAACACTAAGAAGGGAAAGAACAATTAGTCTTTTTTCGACCTCCAACTTATCCCATCACTTGTGTTTTAAGGGAGTGCATCTAGCGCTTTTCCACTTTTTGAGGGAGTGCATCAAGCGCCCACTTGATACACGTGCGCACTGGTGATGAATTAATCTCACTCCTTTTCATCAAGGTTTTGGAGAAACCTATTTTTTATCTTGAAAAAAGGAGGAGTGAACAAATATAATATGTATCTTCGAACTACCTATGCCTTCTGGGCAGAGAAAAGCTTTCTCCGTGGAGGAGGCGCCGTCAAACATTGTACGGATTATTGCATCTACATACTCCACAAGAATGTGAGCGTGATCTCTGAAACTGATATCCATATCAGAACTCAACATTGTTATCGCGGTTACGGCAGAGCATCCATCCTACTATATATTCGTAAGTGTGTAAGTGTGTCTGTGTGTGTGTGTGTGTGTGTGTGTGTAGGTGTGTGTGTGTGTGTTTGTCACGAAATTCGTAGCTCGGGTCACAGCAACGATAGCGCCATGGTTCTTACATATGTTATAGGGGGTGGGATGGGGACTCAAGTGGTACGTGATAGGAACTGATAACGACTGATAGTAGCTGATAAAGGGGCTAGAAAGCGAGCATCGCCAATTTCGTTTTGTCGTTCATATTGGTACTAGAGCGTCTATACTTACAAGTGTTATGTGGGGTGGTCCCGGGACAATGGTGGTACATGAATGGAAGCGATAGCAACTGATAAGGGCTGATAAGGGGCGTCAGAACGCAAAAGTCGTCGATTCCGTTACCAGCTCGCGTTGACACCAGAGCAACCATGCTCACAGGTGTTATGTGGGGTGGGACGGGGACATTGTTGGTGGGTGATTGAAAGTGGTTACAACTGATAAGGGCTGATAAGGGCGTCAGAACGCAAAAGTCGTCGATTCCGTTACCTGGCTCGCGTTGACACCAGAGCAACCATACTTACAAGTGTTATGTGGGGTGGGACGGGGACATTGTTGGTGGGTGATGAAAGTGGTTACAACTGATAAGGCTGATAAGGCGCGTCAGAACGCAAAAGTCGTCGATTCCGTTACCTGGCTCGCGTTGACACCAGAGCAACCATACTTACAAGTGTTATGTGGGGTGGGACGGGGACATTGTTGGTGGGTGATGGAAAGTGGTTACAACTGATAAGGGCTGATAAGGCGCGTCAGAACGCAAAAGTCGTCGATTCCGTTACGTAGCTTGCGCTGACACTAGAGCGTCCCTACTTACAAATTCTATTTGTAGTGGTACGTGCACATTGTATCATTGTATGACCAGCTTACTTAATAGCAGTCGATTGCATAAACTCAATCAAGTCTTCAGCAAATGATAACTTTCATTTCTATCAAGAAAGCCCAAACTCATTAAACCGCTAATCCTTTCGGGGTTCTAAATAATGGTGAATGTAAATAAATGATAAGCCTTAGCTCCTCACTTATGTAAATAGGCATATTTCATTTTCATTTTGAGACTGACAGCAATCCTATTCACCGCTAAATTATCTGAATTCAAGAAGAATGCTGGATGTTTACAGTTGTGAGATAATATGCCAGTTCAGCTCCAGACGTTATCACGCGTATTCTCGATGGACTTCAGCGAAACTGGGAAGGTCTAACACATTCAATAGTGAGGTGGTTAATGGAGTACCTCATGCTGATATTCCATGGGTCCTCCAGTTTCGCTAAAGCCTGCCGTGTGATGCGCGCGATAGCGGGCGGAGCAAAACTGGTTGAATAAAAATTTACCAACACATGCTTTGCCTTGTATCTGGAAAGGTATCTCCAATAGAAGTAAGCAAACCAGCCCTTTTGGCGTTTCTGCTGGGGCCGTATGCTGAATGTTGGGGAGGGGATGGGGTCCCCGACGGTCGACGGACTACTTCAACTCGGTCCTTAAAACCGCCACAATTTGGATGCTTACCTCAGAACTAAGCCTTAAAGAGAGGACGGACCTGCGAGAGAGCGCAGTCCGTCCTCTCCAAGGCTTAGTCCTGGGGTAAGCAAACCAGCCCTTTTGGCGGAGCTGCTGGACCAGCTGCACCACTTGCGTCAGTACTCTCCTACCGTACCGACCGAGTTGAAGTAGTCCGTCGACCTCGGGGACCCCATCCCCTCCCCAACATTCAGCATACGGCCCCAGCAGAAACGCCAAAAGGGCTGGTTTGCTTAGCTCTCTCCAATAACCCTCCAGAAGTAAAATGTATCAAAATCACACGGGATTTGGCAACAGTGAAATTCCAGACCGAGAGAGAGAGGACTTGGACCAATCAGGACAGAGATCCAGATCTCCATCCCGATTACCCTTTTTCAAAAATTGATTGGGCTACACACTTCCAATGGAATTTTTTCTAATACCGTATGGTTGCTATGGAACTTCCTCGAGTGCGACGACACCGTCGATCTTCGATGCATGATAGAAACGCTGAGCGATAGAAGATCGCCGGGATGAGTGGTTCGCTTTCGCACAGCTTCGTCAAAACCTGAAAGAGAATTTGAATTTCTGAGGATTAGTGAGGTGTGAAGAAAGTGGGAAAGTGAAGAAGGTGGGTAAATCTGATAGTGAATGTACGCATTGCCCGTGAGCATATTTAGCAGAGAAATTTCTCTGAAAAAGCCTCAAATATAAAGCAATGTCGATAGTTAATCTTTTTCAGAGATGCGCCACGCAATCTACTCCCATTATAATCGTACGGGTCAGGCGAAGTACAAGTCGGTATCTTTAGTCACTCGAGCGCTATTAACGTAGACCTGAGTAAGATGGAAAACTTGGTTAGCCTGTGCCAATAAGTCACAAATCTGATCCTCAGAGCGTGAACGTGGCAAGCGATGTTATTGGGTGAACTTATTATTATTTAGATCAGTAGCATGTAGCAATGAGATCCTGAGGAGTTTCATGCCGAATACTTCTGACGTCACTCATTATACTGTGAAAGTTTCCCTCAGAATTGTTCGTGATCTATTCGATGTTTACAAGCGCGATGAATGGAACACATGAAAATTGTATTTTCGGACATTTAGTTGTTCTACTTCTTGATCTAAAAGGAGTCATTTACGGAGACAGTCGTGATCCTATCTCACCTATGTATAAATCACTGTCTTGAGACGGTGAACTCCAGTTCGGGGGGGGGGCACTCCATTGCTATCTTATCCGTAGTACTAGAGAGCAGTTCTTTGGGCTATCGAACACTACGGATAAGATAATAAGTGAACGACTCATTTCGAGCGTACTTTTGATAAGGACCGGTGGATGTCCTACATTCCACACTACCTGCCCACATCCCATCCACTTTTCTGCACAGGTGATCCACCCTGGAGCTCCTGCACCCTTAGCCCTTGCGGAGGTGTCCATTCTCCTGGTCCAGGACCGTTCCCTTGGACCATGGCAGGCGGAAATGTAAAAGCATCTCAGGGTTTCTCCCACATTATACTCATGAGAAGTATGATTGATACTTATCAGAAGTATACTTTAAATGAGTCGATTACGTGTCATGAGGCTCTCATCCTTATCTTGAGTATTGGAGAGGAATGGATGGAGCACCCCCTCCCCGAACTGGAGTCTCACCCCTTGAGACCCATCAGCCACGAGACGAATGACTGCAAATAATTGCGTTTATTCCTATAAACAATTCTAAAATCAGAAGGACTGTAACACGTTCAAATTTCCGCCGTAAGTCTGTCACAGAATGTTAGCGACGAACTTCTACTTGACTCTCGCAGTGCCTTCACTAGAAACTCTTTCCGCCGCAAAAAGTTAGAAGTGCTGGCTTTGACCTCACAAAAATCGCGTCCACCAGCTGGAACTTCTGTGTAATGTATTGCGGGCACCATAAGCAATGGAAACGCCTGAGGAAAAATATGAGCACCAAGCGAAATGACCTCATCGAACGATCGGCTCGGCGCTCGGCCACATTCTGCAAATCTCTCAAGGAAGCAGTTCTGCAAGTGCGATGGGGAACGCTTTTACTAACAGCGTGGTCATCGGACCTAGCGCCTCCTGATCACCGCTTGTTAAGATCGATGCAGCACAGCCCTGTTCTCGAAAAGTTGGAGAAGTGCGAAAGTGAATCGGCAAATTAACAAGATCGAAGCTAATTTCGAAGTGGCTATTCTTTGCCAAAAACATCGGACAGATTATAGCAAATTATGGGAACTTTCGAAAGAGATCAATTGTAACAACTTTCTGCAGAAATTGCTGATGCGACACAAATTCTCGAAAGTAAAACCTAGTATTGTCACCAATATAGCCTCCGTCGTTTTATAAACCCCGTAACTTATAACTATACTGAAACTAGTACGTTAGAAGGTACATATTTGGAGTATCTTCTTCTCCCTACCGATCTGAAAAGGCCTCTCAGGAATAGAAGGCCATCTGATTACAGTCCTCAATGCGAATAAACTAATGATCCGCTCACCTTCTCCATGATATGGATAGTGCCACGACCAGAAGTCTTCGGTGCCTCCGACAAACGTTTCCATGTGACCTTTTAGTGCTCGTTTCTGGAATGTTCAACTATCATAAGGTGGGTGTAATTCGACACAAAAATTGCTGATGTTTCAGAAGAGCTCAGTCACGAGGTACACTTCGTGCAATTGAAATCTTACTGCGAAAGAGCTTGCAAACCTGACAGTCCGTCATTTTGCCGGACAAGTACTGCACAAAGGATTGGAGAGCGTTGTCAGAGGTTGCGCTTGACTCAGGTTGCTCCTCAGTTCTGCATTCTTGAAAAGGGAGGTAAGGAATAGGCGAGGAGGAATCTGAACATGACGTCTCTCTTGGCAACTATCACTGTTTCTCTAGCGAAAAATATCTAGAGTTCTAAACTTCTGAAGAGTAATGAAAACTAATAGTTTTGGTGTCATTTTTAGGTCTATTCTAGAAACAATTCGGAACAAAACCACAAAAGATTTCATACTTTTGGTTGACTAGCAACTAGTTCTTTCACGTAAAGTAAAAAAAAAACCTCAGAATTAAATACATTTCCAGGGACTTTTCAAAAGAACATAACCGACGACGATAAGAGACCAATTGCTTTGAACTGGCATAGTAACTGACTTTCGCTCCACATTTCCGGTGGTCAAAATCTGCTCTGGTGACTTTAGCCGCACCTGGTTTGGCTGAGTGGCCCCAATCATAAGGGAAATAAATCATGATAGACTCGGATTCACTTCGAAGACCTGGTTCTACCCGTAGTCTTTAGCATCACTATTTTATGAACTACAACCTTGGTGTGTCGGCTTATAAGTCTGTACGTATACCTGCCGTGTGTGCCTGTTTGCCGGTTCACAAAATGCCTAAGGGTATTGTAAGAAAACTGATGAGAAATAATCAACGTTAACAAAATTAGGGAGCTCGCAGATCTTGCGGTATCAAGGTGGTATAACCATGACCTTGCAATCCCCACCCAACTACTACTACATCTACATAAACACCGACTAAGCACACTTTCGACTATTGCACATGGTGGGTGCAGTGGCAGTTAGGAGGAAGGGCAGAGGAGAGGGAGAGGGACGAAGAGAGAGCACAGAAAATCAACTAGCAACAAAGCTCAGGTCCAAATCAGTGTCGGAGTGTCATCCTAATGTAATGGCATGATCGCGTTAATACCTTTTATTCTGTATGCAAGAGAACTTTTTTGGGGATACGCATCCACTGCATATGCTCACGTGTGGAGGTTAGCAGAGCGAAGAGCCGCAAGCGTACTCAGGGAAAGGATAGCCTAGACGCCGTGTGTGAAAATTGGTCTTTAATATATGTATTGGTTTTCCGAGATCAACGTAACATTTATTCGACGTTGGTGTCAGAGCTATAAAGTCAGATTTCATTTTGAGATTATCATTCAAATGCTACTCAATCGCAATAAGGAAAACCTGGATGTCAGTCTGCGATAAATGTGTCGTGCCCCTTATCTACGACATTTTCTGTGCCCCAAAAACATGGGTCAGAAGCATCTCCGCACCTTGGTCTATTGGGAGCACCTGGCAGGAGTTGGTACCAAGAAGTAGCCTTCCCTAAAGTGAGAAAGAGGGATCTTCGAGCTCAGAAGGCCGCTATAGTCGCGACTCAAAAGTGCGAGGCAACGGCGCTAAGGCCTTGCCTTGTGTGCTGCCGTGCTGCCATCCTAACCGCGGCATACGTGGCGTCTGCGCCCTCTCGCGTACGACGTGCTCTCTCGCGTTTTCCCTCTCCTCGCAGCGCTGTGTCTCTCCGTCATACCACGGCAGACCTCACAAGAAGATTTAGTGTTTTATGATTGATTTTTGATATGATTTCTTATGTTTGTGCAGAGAGCTATTTTTGGTTCATTTTCGGTTCCGCTTACAAAATTGACCTGTTCCTTAAGATAATCAGAATGGGATTTTAAGTGCTGCGATGATATGCTCAAACACAATAGTGTTTGAAAATGATTTAATCGTGACTTGCGAAGACAGCTTAAACACGGCACCGAAAGTGGCATTCGAAAAGTAGCTAGCACCAGGTTTTTGATAATTTTCAAGCATGCTTTTGTGAGCAGGGTTCCGTTTAGAAACTTAGGAGGTCTTTTTATGAATCGGTCGTCTCTTGTAAGATAAACATGGATAAGCATAAGATAAACACAACATAAGATGAACATGGAGGTTTTTTTAAAGGCAGTGGCACTTAAGCACAACTAACAACTTGCTCTCTGTGCTCTATGTTGTTCAACTTACAGTTGATGACTTCGAGGTCTATATCCTTAACTTCCTCGTTCATCTCGTGAATCAGCTTTCGCCGTTGTATTGCTTCCTTGATACGCATCATCTTTCTGCAAAAACATGCGAGTTATTTTCCAGATGACGCTTGTCTGTCTTGAAATAATGGCAACGAGCAAACAAAAAAAAACGGTTAGAAGCAGTATTCCTGTTGGAAGGAGTTGCTTGTCTGGGGCTGAAAAGAGAAAGATTTTCCAACAGAAACACATCGCATTAGGATGTCGAATAAATAAATGCTTACAGAAATATATGGAATTGTCGGAAGAACTGGGATACCTAAGAGATATGAGGTAGAGTCAGCTTTCTTCATGTGTTCTCCGGCTGGAGGTATGTGGTTGCTCAAGAGCTAAAGGTTCTGTTCCACAAACTTCAGCAGAAATTTCCTCTTCGCGCTTCATTGCATGTGGCAATTCTCGAAAATTTACTGCTCTGCGGAAGGACATGTTCAACAGTGGCTTCGAAGAACTCGAACAGAAAACCATTTCCGATAATGCTATAAGGCCGGAAGGAAAGTTCTGGAACTTTTCACAGTTCCTGTTTCAAATTTTCTTAATTTTTCTAGAAGTTTCGTAGGCTAATATTTACGAACAACGAATGGAGAGCATTTTCAAGGCTTCCATTAGCTGGGTTAATATAGGCGCTGTATCCAGTAGTTATCCAAAATATCTAGAAACCCTCCATATCTGGTCAGTCTGTATTTCCTAGTCACTGCTCACAGGGTGGCCGCAAACTACGGTGGCAAAACGAAACGATCATGAAAAGTCTTTAGAACTTAGAAAGCGTGTGGAACCAAAAACAGGCGCTGTCGCAAGATACGGGGGAATTGTAATTGCAATTTCAAACCGCGTGAAACATCTCATGAAACGGGAGCAACCATAAGCCTAGTTAGAGAGCAGAAGAGACTCTATTGTAAGTTTCATGAGCATTTTTATTTCCCTCAAGATTTGTGCCCCGCCCTAGGCTTAGTTTGGAAGGATTTTTCCGAATCTTGCGAAACCGCCGTGAATCTAGTCATTGAAGGTTAATGAACAGAAAACCGTGTTACTCCTTCAGGTACCTTCTATTTGCTTTGGGAAGGAAGCGAAGCCTTCTAGGAAGTGAGTTGACCACAGCGTCCTACGGCTGGCCTAGAGTGCATTCCAGGCTTTAAGAAGCGGTTTATTGAACCCAATGCTTCCATGATGTTGGAATGTCTGATGCTGTTCTTCAGCACACTCCGTACAGTGAAATCTAGTAGATCTAATAAGGGACTTAGCGAATGCAACGATCTATGGGAAAGTTGACTGACAAGGAACTTCGCACAAATTTCGCCGTGCGCGAGGTTCTGCAGAAGCGTTTAGTGTTGCTGTGATTTCTTGTAAGCTTCCATTGGGTCATACATAGAATGATTTGGGACCCTAAAAGATACTTCTTACTGTTCTATTCTGCCTTGTGGGATAGAAGTCAAACTTCCTACTTTTCGATGTGATCGCTGCAAAAACCTTCACCGTTTCCGGATTCGATAATGTTTGGCATAATACACTTTGGTTTGCCAGAAATATAGTTCTTGTCGTCCTACTTCCTCAAAGCTGACTCGACCGTGAATACCTTTTCCTCAGTGGAAATTACGATAAAAGTGTATGCAGCACATACACCAGTGGAAGCAGTACCCAGAGGCCGAAGGAAGAAAGATGTGGCCTTTTCGCGGCCTGAGGTACACTAGTTACAGCGCACTGAGTTTGCCAATACTCTCTGAACTCCGCCTCCGCTTGAGCGCCACCAACCAAGTGTTACCATTTTGGAAAAAAAGTATTCCACTTCGAGCGCTTACCCTATGACTTTTTGGTAATGCATTATCAATCAAATCACATCGATTTAACACGTGCAACCAATGCGTATTTGGTTGCTAACCCTCCCGAGTTATCAGAGGTCAACGGGCAAAGAAAGGGGTCCCATTTTGCGCTTCTTGACGGATTTCTTTGCTTTTTTCGCCACTGGGGCATTATTCAGCATCTCCACTTCCACTGTGAACCCATCCCAATATCATCGCAATCCCTTTTTCTAAATCACATCATTTAGGAGCTGGATTATTTGGCCAAAAATGTAATTTATAAAGTTAAAAATTTAAAATTTTTGGATTTAAGTCTATCACACTTACGTGCCTTTTTCACCTGATGCTCTTGGCGATCACCTGCAAACGTACTCAAAGTGCTAGTGAAGCGCGCCATAACCGTATTCAAACTCTTGGTGTAATGCCTCATACACCCATCATTGCCACTTTACTGCAGAGCACCGGCTGCACCATTGAAAGAGGTCTTGATAAAGTAAAGGGTAGGTTCGTGTAATATGTAGATATCCCACATCTGTGCCCATGTGACTGCGTGTTAATCACTCTGCATAATTGGTCTCCTATTCCAATATTATTCTCTTGGATCTCGTTCAGCTACAACCTATCATGCCCCGTGGCGTGACTTATTTAATCCGCTGCGGTATAATGGTGACCGCTTTTCGAGTGAAACAATCCAGTAAATGATCATCATCTGCATCGCGACTACTTGTGCTTGTACCCGAGCCTATGGGTGCGTGACCACCTGACGGGTGGGCAACCCGAAATGCAGGCGCAGATGGTCTCACTGACCAGCAACAAAAGATACCCCAACGCTGCACTTTTTAATGCGGTTCAGTGCGACTAATGTGCGTCTCTACCCATTGG